GCTGCGTGCCGGGACCAAGCTTCTCCCTATATGGCGGTGTCATGCCCTGGATCAAGCTCCTCTCCACAGGGCAGTGCCCTCCAATCAAACGAGGGCAGTGCTGGTCACACCCACACCGCTCATGCCCGGGCCAAGCTCTCATTAGGGGGGCTGCTGGACCAACAGCATCAGAGTGCGGTGACACCTCAAGGGGAGGCAGGTTTCGCAAACCCACATCACTCGAACTCCCCCCCCCCCATGCATTTTAGGCGATGCTGGTAAGACCATGCCGAGGATCATCTGGGGTCCTTGCTATGGGGCAACTTTGGTGCGTCCAGCACGACGGTGCCCACTGCTGTGGCGTACTAGTGCCGCAAGCAAGCAAAGCATCGGGGGACCTCAGTCACTAATTTGCTAGCTCAGAGGATACGGGCCATGCGGGCAAGAGGACACCTGGTCCAGTGCCTCGGCTATTAATACTCGACCATATACCAAGCTCAGCGAGCAAGGCTGCTATAGAGCAAAGGCTGTGTATACGACGTGGGCCCATAGAGCTGCACCCTGTTCTAGCCAAACCCTCGCAGAGTAGTGCCGACTAGAGGCCCACAGGCTCTGGACTCTGTCTCACAGCTGCACTCCACCCCTTACAGGGACAACGGTAGGAGGATTGGGCAACATGCCTCCAAGCAGCATCTTGGGAAGCCTGGGGCTGAGAAACTGCCCAGTGACGGGTTCCTCGGCGTCCCTCGTCATCTCAGGGGGCACGGGCAACAACAGCCGCATCAAGCCTCCACATCCCTGCCAATTGTCTCCGCAGGGGTGTTCGCACTGACAGACCATGCCGTTCCCCTCTCGGCACCAAGCAGCAGTGCAAAGGCCTCAGACACGATCGTAGTGGCCCCTGGTGTCCCAGCCCTGAAACACTCCCTTGTGGAACTAATCTAAGCAGGAAAATTTTTGGATCTAGGGGAGTTCCCCCCTGCTAAGGAATTTGGCAAATCCCCGTCAGCACTGTCCAGCGACGTGGAGGGAAAAATTGTGCTGCTCCAAGCGGCAGACTACGTGCAGTCAAAGAAGCACATTCCCGACCTGGCAACATGGGCGCAATGTTTCGCCATCTACTCGGCAGTGCTGGTGACCAAGTACCCAGAAAGAGCCCAGATGCTCTTCATGTATTCGGCTATAATAGCCCGTCTGAGCAAAAGATTCAGATGGCTATCCTGGATTATCTATGACCAGTACTTCCGCGAGGCAGCCGACACTGGTAAAACAGACTGGTCTAAGATTGACAGCAGTATCCATGCCCAATGCTTCACGGGAATGTCACTCAGTGCAGAGGGTTGGTGCTCAATATGCACCTCCATGGACCACGTCAAAGCAACGTGCCCCTACCGGCCTGCTGACGACCAGCTTGGCCAGAAAAGGCCATTGGCAAAGCCCAAGCCTCCCACAAAAAGAGCTCGCCTTCAGCTTAAGTAGAAGAGGCTTGCCGCAAATGTAACAGATACCACTATATGGAGTGCCCCCATGGAGAGTCCTGTGCATACACTCATGTATGCTCTAGCTGCCGTGCAACCGACCACGGAGTCTTGAAGTGCCCACGTGCTAAGGCTCCAGCCAAATGAGCACTGCCTCCCCATCCTCCAGGGAGTGATCTTGGACATGTAGCTAACAGTGACTACTGTGGTTTTTTTGGAGTTTATGTGCCCACATCAACAGTGTGCCTACCAGCAGCCCTACTAGAGGTAACAACCCCACTAATCAGTGAGGTATGGGAGTGTGAGCTGGCCAGTCACCCCGATAGATCCTTCGCATCATACATGGTGAATGGCATAAAACATGGCTTTCGAGTTGGCTATGATTGCTCAAAGACACTGACAAGCTGTGGAAGCAACATGGCCTCGGCCCTTCAGCACCCAGATGTGGTCTCTGACTACTTAGAGCAGGAGCTACTCCTCAACCGCATGGTAGTAATTCCTCCAGCACAGGTCCCACACATTCACTGCCACATAAGCCCATTTGGGGTTATCCCAAAGAAAGTAAAACCAGGCAAATGGCGCCTCATTGTAGACTGTCGTCCCCCATGAATGCCAGTGTGAACGATGGCATAGACAGAGACATGTCCAGCATTTCCTATTTAACGACCGACCAAATCGTTGACGGAATCCTACACCTCGGTCGTGGTGCACTTATGGCAAAAGTGGACATTAATATATCACATAGTTCCAGTCCACCCAGAGGACCGTCACCTCCTGGGTGTTCAGTGGTAGGGGCAGGTTCTTGAGGACAGAGTCCTTCCGTTCGGGCTGCGGTCGGCACCTCTCATATTTACAGTGCTGGCCGACGCTCTCCAGTGGATCATGGAAAAATGGGAAGTTAGCCCGGTGTTTCACTATTTAGATGATGTCATCACTCTGGGGCCTCCACACTCGTCCCATTGCAAACATAATTTAGAGGGTATCATTCAAACCTATCACGATACAGGCACACCACTAGAGGAAGGTAAAGGCGAAGGTCCTTCCTCAACTATCACGTTCCTAGGCATGGAACTTGACTCACAAAACATGGAAATTCGGCTACCGCCAGATAAACTGGAGCGACTGTTGCAATTGCTGTCCGAGTGGGAAGGCCGAAAGGCAGGCAAGAACAGAGACCTGCTCTCACTTATCAGCTACTTACAACACGCCTCCAAGGCAATTCGGCAAGGACGCTAATTTCTGCGCCGGCTAATCACCCTTTACAGCAGTAAAAAACCTAGACAACATTGTGCGTCTCAATGTCTCAGCCAGATCGGACATACAATGGTGGTCACGTTTCTCCATGCTTGTACGCTTTGACAGGGCAAACCCCCAATTCACAGTGACATCTGACACGTCAGAATCCTAAGACTACAGAGCCTATGTGTCAGGGTTTTGGGGCTGTGGAGCCTATGAAGGCGATAAATGAATGGCCGTCTAACATGGAGGCCTCCCACATCTCAGTGCGAGAGATGATCCCAGTGGTGATGTCGGCGGCTCTCTGGGGTTAATTCTGGACAGGAAAATCTGTGCGGTTTTTGTCAGATAACGCAGCAGTCGTAGCTGTGATCAACTCAGGCTCGAGCAGGGAGAACTCCCTGATGCATCTCATGTGCTGCCTTACCTTTGTCATGGCTAAGTATAATTTCGTGGTGTCTGCAGCCCATATAAGAGGCATTCATAACGACCTTGCGGATGCGTTATCTCGGAATAACACATTATCCACAGGCCCAAGCCTCTCCAGCGGCAGTATCCCAGGAGTTGGTGGAGCTCCTACTAACTGCTCAGCCAGACTGGGTCTCCCCTCACTGGACGAAGCTGTGGACCGCTATTTTCAGTCGGCACTAGCACCGGCATCTCGTCGAGAGGTGACAGTCCCGTCTGACTCCGCTTTAGCTACTCACATCACGTTTGAGGACATCAATGTTCACAACACTACCAACCCTACCCTCCTGAAGCTTCGGTTAAAGGCTCGATCCATTCCGTAAGGGCGTGGATGTAGTGGTGGGCAGAACCAACAACAAGCTGTGTCCAGTCGCAGCCGTATTGGCGTACTTAGCCGTAAGGGACAATGGACCGGGGTTCCTGTTTAAATTCCAGGATGGCAAGCTCCTCACCAAACCTAGTTTCGTTGCAGCAGTCCGGGACGCCTTAGGGGCTGCAGGGCTTGACCCCAAAGCATTTTCTGGCCATTCGTTTAGAATTGGGGCAGCTACGACAGCCAACGCATGTGGCCTAAATGACTCAACCATTCAAATGCTGGGTAGATGGTCATGTTCGGCATACCTGGTTTGTATTCAAACCCCAAGAGATCAGTTAGCTACATTCTTGTCATTGATAGGTCAAACAAATACCGCAGCCTCATCACGTGTAGGTACGTAGATTGAATTTTGTTTAATGTTCATTCTTTCGGTGTATACATTCCTTCCCACTTACCATTAAAATGTTTGGGCTTGTTTCTGGAGGTGGCTCGAGTTGTTACTCTCCAAGACTGAAAATAAGTAGTTCAAACGCATATGATATATATAAGGCCAATTTATGGAGGCCGAACAGACAGATACCCCAGAATGAACAGCCTGGCCGGCGCCGCACCCAGCAGGGGCCAGCTGCTCCTGAATGCCAAACCATTACATTGGGGTACTGATTTGGTTATACCGCGGGACAGCACAGTTTCAAAGTATGCAAAGCGCTCTGCATAATGAGTGGAGTTTAATGTAGTAGATTAAACGGGGTTAACAGCATGGAGCAGGCAAAAGGGTTAATATAAGTAACGGCGCATGCTCAGAACCGCTACAGGCCTCATGACTTTAGTCAGCACAACTGGGCACTGGATGTTGATTTGTCCCACCCGTATCTCATCCCTCCCTGACATTCTCATTTTTCTCCAGTGCCCCACTGTGACAGGAGCGACTGGCTCTGCTGCCCATTATTACCAACCTGGAATATATAGAAGGCCAATTTATGGGGGCAGATACACCAGAATGCACAGCCTGGCCGGCGCCACACCCAGCAGGGGCCAGCTGCTCCTGAATGCCAAACCATTACATTGGGGTACTGGTTTGGTGATTACCGCGGGACAGCACAGTTTCAAAGCGCTCTGCGTAATGAGCTGAAGTACTGTAGGTACAAAACCCTCGGCGAGCTGCGCATGCGCGATACCGCTAATTGTTGGGCCGGGTTCCCGCTGGTAGCTCGTGGAGAGTCTGGCTACAGTAATAGATAGCATGTTAAAATCGATACACGCCCTCCGTTGTGACTTCTTGTGCCTCCAAGGTACACAGAGCAAGCGGACCTGGTCGAGGTAAGCCTGCCAAATTTGCATATTGGCTTGTTCACTTGCTATAACGTTTGAAATCGCTTTTTTAAAGCGAGGCCAGTGTATATAGCGATGAACCTGTTGGTGTCGCTATTTCGTTGTCTCGTTGCGCGTAGTCGCAGAAAACGTGGTATATAGCAGAACGGACTTCCTGTTATATAGGGGGAAACATGGGGATTTGAACAATCTGCAATTTGTACACAGGAAGTGCATAAACACCTGGAATCATGTCTCGACTCTACAATTTGTCTTTTATCTTGACATTTGTTTTTGAACTCATCTCAATATTGAAATTTTTTCTAGTTTTCGATTCCACTCCTTCAACTCCATTTCATACATTCATTTATTTCGTCTGTGAGCTGATTACACAACTTGTAGTTGTGAGCCATAGAAGCCCGCTCACGAATTTTCTCTTTGCACCCTAAATGATCTACTACATTTAATGTCCTCCATAAGCTCATTTATGTGTATCTCTCTCATGCACTCTGAGGTTTTTGGGCGCTTCAGAGCGTGTTTGCCGTGAATCGAGAAGTGTTGGAGCTAATGAAATTGATGCATGATTCACTTCTTCCTGATAATTGGTTATTTTCTTCTTGTCTCCACCTCGGCCATAAAATATAGCTTTCTCCCTTTTATACGCTTCCATAGGACCTTGTACAAGCATAACGTTTTTGCTGACTCTAATGGATAACGAGCATACCTCATGAACTACTTTCAATCCAATATTTCCACTTGAGGTTGCAGCTAACACTGCTGCATTGAATTTAAAAAGGCTAAGGTAAAAGTATTGTCCTGTAGAGGAAGGAGAATTGTGCCAGAACAAAGCACATAAAGTGTGGGGATGGCTAAGGCATCTTATCAAAATCAGATAGAAAACAGATAATATATGAGCAGGTTCATGCCACACTCACATGAGATTGTCCTTGTTGATTGCCTGTAGCATACACTTCCACAAAAATCACAGCCAGCCTGAATATATAAAAATGTGATCTTACACAAAACAGACTAGAGCCACAGCATTCACTTACTTAAGCTTCTTTGTCTTTCACTTTACCAGATTCATCTGCAACAATCTGTGCATGTTAAATATGTGTGTCATACATTGACACAGTTTCTTATCAATTTGTTACCTCTTGGGATACAATCTCTCTTCGCAGTGCTTATAATTGGTGCGGCGCCAAGAGAGATACACTTCCACAAAAATTTGAGCCAGCCTGAATATATAAGAATGTGATCTTACACAAAACAGACTAAGCCACAGCATTCACTTACTTAAGCTTCTTTGTCTTTCACTTTACCAGATTCATCTGCAACAATCTGTGCATGTTAAATATGTGTGTCATACATTGACAGTTTCTTATCAATTTTTTACCTCTTGGGATACAATCTCTCTCCTCAGGCTCTCTGTTGCCTTGTGAGAAATCTGCAGAAAATGATAAACGTAGCTTAAAAATAGCATGCCACATACTTTAAGAATGCTCCTGTCGGGTACAATTTCATCCTCTCTGACATCCACAAATTCTTCTCGTTTCATTCGTATGATGAGGTCGGGAACAGGCGGCAGAACGTCGGAAAATATGCGACGTATTCCGGTAATGATAGCCGGTAACCTTCCTTCGGTAAAGCAAACAACCCGGCTGTACACGTTATACTGTACGAGAGCCCCCCTTTCCATGTTGTCCGCCATAGCGCACTGGTTCACTGGCTACAAGGTGTCCCTCTTTGTAAACTATTGCGTGTGGTGGAGTATACGGGAAATGTCAACTCCCCCTATGTGGGGCAAGTTTTCCTACTATCCTCCTGCGCAGGAGCAAGGGGTTAGCATATGCGTATAAGTGCAAACCCTTGGTGAACTGCGCATGCGCGGTACCCCTCACCTCGAGGCATGGCTGGGTTAACTCGCGGAGAGGTCTGACAGGGCGAGCTTACAGTAGTAGATAGCATGCAGCATCGATACACGCCCTTCGTTGTGACCCGGTCGAGGTTAAGCCTCTCCTAAATTAGCATATTGGCTTGTTCACTTGGTTTTCACGCCATAACTTTGGAACGAAGTATTATTATGAAAATCGCCTTTTTAGGCCAGTGTAGCATTGAAGCCATTACTATCGCTTTTTCGCCAAATTCTTGCGCGTGGTGGGAGAAAACTTGGTAACAGACAAACAGACGGACAGAGAGACACACTAGTAAAACCCTTGCTGCACATGCACGCCGAGGGTTAACAACCTTCCGACTCAGCGCTCTCGATTCGAGAAGAAAGGCCCTTTTGTCGACCGCGTTTTATTGGCGTTTTTTGCATGGAATTTCCATGTAGAGTGTGCAGAGCGAGGCACAAGAGGCTGATAAAGCTATCCAATGCGAGGGAGAATGCAAATACTTGTATCATTGCACGTGCGTTCGGATTGATGATGAATACGATTATCTGTCAGCCTCAAAGGACCTTGGGTATGTTCTACCTGCAAAAACTGCAGCCTTCCTCCGTTTAACAGCGTCAATGCCATTGATGTATTCCATTTTGATTTCCAGAAGAATCTTCCCACGCCAAAGCTCACTGTAGGGCAGCAATTTTATTGCAGATTGCTTTGGACTTACCTCTTTCAGAATCTACAGGGATTATGATGGCCTTTATGTGGCATAAGCTGCTAGTTAAGAGGGGCCAATACTGTTATAGCTTGTCTTGCTCATTATATTTTCAACACCACTTTAGGCAGGACAGGAGCCAAGCAGAGCATGTTTGGGCAGATAACTGCCCCTAGACTACCTATTTTAATTTTTTCAGATTTAATTTGTCGCCAGGTGTATTCAAGGAAGGATTGATAGTGTCCCTGGCCACACATATGGCCCAACTGACTGACCGACACTTTGCTGTAATAGAAAAGTAACACCCCCCCCACCCCCAAACAACCACACAACCCACCACAACAAAACCCCCCAACCCCAAAACCACAACACCCCCCCACCCAACCCCCCCCCACCCCCCCCCCCCCACCCCCCCCCCCCACACCCCCCACACACCCCACCCCCACCAAACCCCCACCCCCCACCCCACCCCCCCACCCACACCAACCCACCCCCCCCACCCACCCACACCCCCAACCCCCAACAACCCCCCCCACCACCCCACCCCCCCCCCCCCCCACCACCCCCACCCACCCCCACCCCCCCCCCCCCCCAAACCACACCCACCCAACCACCCCCCCCACCACACCCACCCCCCCCCCACCACCCCCCCCCACACACCACAACCCCCCCACCACACCACCCCAACCACCCCAAACCAACACCAACAACCACCCCCACCAAACCCCCCCACCCACCACCACACAAAACCCCCCCAAACAGCGAATAGTTGAAGCGGACTATACAACACCTAGCCCCCCAATGGTATTATCGTGTTTGCAAACCTGTGATCAGTGTTGGTTCAAGAGTGGAAGCATTGAAATGAAGCAAGAAATCTTTTGAAATTACCGTGATCATCTTCGAAGGCTATATTCTGAGGATGTGAATAATCAACCTTTGGAGCAGTATGGTTTAACAGGCAGAGGTGAAAAATGGTGAATTGAATATTGGTCTCATTTGAGCATACATCTGAAGTTTGGGTACGGCATACCTATTAAGTTTAAGAGGTACCTCAATGTGTCTTTTCTCAAAAAAAGGGGAGCTCAGAGTGGGTTTGAGTGCATCCTACCATCAATATCCACTTCCCATCAAAAAGGAAAAAGCTGAAGATGTAAAAAAGCAGGTTTCAAGATAATTTGTTCCCAGCAAAGATCAATGCTTCTACTCTGATCTCGCAGTGAACAAGGAGAGTGGTTCTGACACAGAATAGTTCAGCTATCATTTTGTTAATGTGTACCAACTTGTTTCATACATTATTGTGTATAGATGAGTAACAGAAATACACGAGCCACATTAAATTGCATGTCAGTTAGCATTAACCTTTCCCCATCGTTGCTTGCTTAGCTTCTGATCGTATCTAAATGCCTGCCCTCCTGAGAAAACTGTAGTGCACAGGCAATTAGAGAAACATTGACCTTTGACCGACCACGTGGGACAATTGGCCCTTGACCGACCATGTGGGACAGAACATTCTGAGAGACTATATATTAGAGTGTGGATATGTGTTGGTGTGTATTGATATTCATTGACTATATTGGTGACCACGACGTGACTGCTAACCCGCCGACATGTCCATGAGCGCTACAGACTCTGATAGCGGACCAGCGGCAGTCAGCCCCCCGTCTCCGTGGCAGCAGTAAGCCTCAAACTGGCCTGCGGACCCAGACCTTTGGTTTGAAAGCCGTCGCAACTTCGCCCAAGTCGAGGCACAATTCAGCACTCAAGGAATCTCCGTGCAAAGGACCAAGTACGACTATGTCGTGGCGTCCCTCTCACCCGAATTTGCAGCCGAAGTCAGCGATTTGATTCTCAACGTCCCCGACCGGCCCTACGACACGCTCAAGCGGGTGCTTATCGAACGTACATGTCCACCGCAGCAGAGACGTTTACAACAGCTGCTACACGCGACCGAGTTAGGAGACCGAAAGCCGTCGCAACTTCTCAGACACATGCGCCAACTTCTAGGGGACACTGACAGACCACTGCTTAGGGAACCTTTCCATCCAGCTACGGTGTGCATGGTGTTGGCTTCCAACGCAACTGATACCAGCCTTGACGATATGGCACAGCTCACCGACAGAATAATTGATGTGGCACCGTCCACAGTGGCAGCACTCTCATCTGCGTCTCCAGCTCAGGACGAGGTAAAAGCACTCCGGACCGAGATTGACCGACTCAAGGAGCTGGTAACTTCTCTCGTCTCTCGGCCTCGTTCACGTCAACCTTCGCCATTTCCCCGTCGATCTCGGCCCCCAACCCCTCCGCCCCCATCACCCAGTTGTGCTCGTACCACGCCCGTTTTGGGGAGAGAGCCAGGAAGTGTATATACTCCACCATGTGCACAGGCGGGAAACGCCCAGGCCGGTTGTTAGGGGCGACCAACGCCTACGGCCAAAACGCCAGTCGCCCATTTTACGTGCCTGACTATTTCACAGGATCCAAGTTTCTCGTACACACTGGTGCTCAAGTCAGCATCATTCTGCCATCTCCAACCGATCGTCACGCTCTCCACACCAACATCACCCTGGAGGCGGTTAACGGGACTCCTATCAAAACCTTCGGAACTTGGTCACTAACCCTCAACCTAGGGCTTCGTCGAACCTTCCGTTGGGTTTTCATCATAGCCGAAGCCGCCACCCCTATTCCAGCACATGTTGGAATTGGGTATCGTCAGGCCATCGTCAAGCAGTTGGTCTTCCCCACTACATATGGTACCGAAGAAGACGCCTGGCGATTGGAGACCCTGTGGTGACTATCGTGCCCTCAACCATTCTACATGCCAAACCGCTACCCAATTCCGCATATACAATTTCTCTCCACGGTTCACATATTTTCTCAAAAATTGATCTCGTCCGCGCATACCACCAGATTCCCATCAAGCCTGCCGACGTGCCGAAAACTGCAGTAACTACCCCGTTTGGGCTTTTTGAATTCGTCCGCATGGCTACGCAACGCAGCTCAAACCTTTCAGTGGTTTATGGATCAGGCACTACAGAAACTTCCCTTCTGTTACATGTACATCGATGATCTTCTGATTGCCAGCCCCACCCCAGACGAACACACAGAGCATCTCCGCCAAGTCTTCCAGCGGCTAAGCGATCACAGAATAGTCATCAATCCCGCCAAATGTGTCCTGGGAGTATCTGAGCTGGATTTATTAGGACACCGTGTCAGCGCCAACGGTATCCGACCACTGGAGGAGAAAGTCAAGTCAATCCGGGATTTCCCTCAACCCATGTCAGTTCGCAAGCTGAGACAGTTTCTTGGCCTCATCAATTTTGACCACCGTTTCATTCCCAACTGTGCTGCCATTCTGGAGCCACTTAATAGGTTGTTGAGTAGTACTGGACGGGAGGCACATCACTTGCCGTGGGATGAGCAGGCTGACACCGCTTTCACCGCAATCAAGGAAGCCCTCGCTAACGCTACTCTCCTCGCTCACCCAAAACAGCACGTCCCAACCCGCATCATGACTGACGCCTCTGATTTCACGGTCGGAGCTGTACTCCAGCAGGAGATTGGGGAGTCATGGAAGCCCATTGCATTCTTCTCCAGGAAGCTGAGACCAGCGGAGTCGAGATACAGCACTTTTGATCGAGAGTTGCTCGTGGTCTACCTTGCAGTTAAGCATTTTCGACATTTTGTTCAAGGTCGTGAGCTTTATGTACTTACAAGCCGCTTACATTCGCTCTCTCCTCAACCACAGACAAATACACTCCCCGGCAGACACGCCACCTCGACTACATCTCCCAGTTTACCACAGATATCCGGCATGTGCGAGGCGGGGAAAACCAGGCAGCTGACGCACTCTCCAGGGCAACCATCGACGCTATTACCCCATCACCATCCTCGGAGATAGAGTTCGAAGACATGGCGGGAGCACAGGATACAGACCCCGAACTCCAAGCTCTCCAAGACTCACCGTCTTCTTCCCTGCAATTGGCAAAGGTTCCTCACCCGTCACGCTGGTCTGTGATATGAGTACCGGCTCTCCTCGCCCATTCTTACCTCAAGCATTCTGCCGGGCTGCATTCCACTCATTGCATTCACTGTCACATCCGGGCATCCGAGCAACCCAACGCCTAATTGCCGATCGGTTTGTTTGGCCTCGCATGTACGCTGACATTCGGGAATGGACTCGTACTTGTCTGCTGTGTCAGAGGGCTAAGGTACAACGTCACACGGTCACACCACTGGGCACTTTTGCAAACCCGGATGCTCGGTTCGATCAGATTCACGTCGACATAGTCGGACCACTTCCGCCCTCTCGTGGGTTTACCTACCTTCTAACTTGTGTGGATAGATTCACCCGCTGGCCAGAGGCGCTACCTATGGCAGATATCTCAGCGGACTCTGTTGCACGTACCTTCGTGAGCGGATGGGTCGCTAGATTTGGCGTACCATTGACAATCACAACTGACCGTGGACGTCAGTTTGAATCTCACCTATGGCGAGCGCTCACTGAGCTTTTGGGATGCCATCACCTCAGAACGACAGCGTACCATCCAAGCGCCAATGGCATGGTGGAGCGATTCCATCGACAGCTTAAGGCATCGCTCAAAGCTAAGACACCGGTTCAGTGGACTGATTCACTCCCCAAGACGCTGCTCGGTATTCGCACAGCTCTCAAGCATGATCTCCAATGCAGTGTTGCAGAGTTGGTTTACGGTTCTACTCTCCGCTTGCCTGGAGAATTTTTCCAACAGTCTCCTCCAGTTGACGACCCCGCATCTCTGGTTGGGCGTCTCAAGAATGCCATGCGCCAGCTCCGTGCTACTCCTGTTTGTCCTCAGCCACACCACAAGGAGCTGTCCTCGTGCACACACGTATTTGTTAGAAGAGATTCAGTCTGCAAGCCCCTTCAGCCGCCATATGATGGTCCTTACCGTGTACTGTCTCGAGAACACAAATACTTTCAGCTTGATCTCAACAGATGGCAGGACACAGTGTCAGTTGATCGTCTCAAACCGGCATAATTGGACGCAGCATCAGAAGAGACAACCCCTCCTCCTTCTGCATTTTCACCTAAACCCTCCACCTCTCCAGCATCACCACCAACCACTTTACCACCGCCGACGAGTTTGCTTCCCGGACCGTTTTGCTACTTTAATTTGCTAGCTCACAGGGGGTTGTAGTGCACAGGCAATTAGAGAAACGTTGACCTTTGACCAACCACGTGGGACAGCTGAGAGACTATATATTAGAGTGTGGATATGCAGTTGGTGTGTATTGAGATTCATTGACTATAAAACCTTTTTATGAGTAGCTGTTGTTTCAGTTCCATTTCTACTGAGGGTGAAGGTCCATCTCCAATTCTAACCACAATGTAGTCACAGGTGTATGACCTAGGGGAGCCAAAGTAAATATAAAACTGTTACGAAGAGATCATGGTAGAAGTGGAGTGTAACGATAGGTTTACATATTTGCTGTACCGATTGATGTGAAATCCCACACTCACGATTTTCTTCTTGCAGCTTTGGATCATGATTTTGCAAGAAATCTCTGCATAACCGTACTATTGACAGGTCAGAAGGGAGATATACCCTGCCAGAGTTATCTGAACGAGAATAATGGCTGCTTCCTTCAGGAAATGACCGTATTAGATCACGAACGGTATCATCCACATTTTCGTGCCCACGGTGCTTTCCATGTCTATCCCACACAATTTAGCTCCATTCTCTGCACTCGCAGCCGATTTGGCCCAAATCCATCACACTGCAAAAAGGCTTTCTGGCACACCTTCACATCCACCTTTTTCAATCTCAAAGGTCAATTGGCTCTCTTCAGCTGGTGGTCAGCCTAGCCGCTTGCCATTAAGTGTAGTCGTTGGATTCGATTTTCGCTTGTGCCCACTGGTCTTCTTGGTTTCATGCCGATGCAACAAACCACTCAAATACTGTTTTGTTTCTCCTAGTATAAGTCTTGGAATTCACCCCTAATCTTGGCCAGATAATCTTTCGCAAAGAGGGTCAGGCACTGCTTCCTGCAGCATACAGTCAGCTAGATATGTCTGCATGGGGGGGATTCTTTCTGAGCCCCGGATTCTTAACATGCTTGCGTTGCCAACTGTCAGGATTCTTCGTGGGTCTGCAGGCACTTCCACAGATGCCCCAACTTCAGGTGAGTACAGATCAGTAAATTCAGCCCCATCTTGTCAAGAGCAGCAGCAGTTGTGGCCCTGGTGTAACAAGGAGCAGCTGAAGCTACCGCGTCCATTATACATGTACAACACCTACAGACACATGCTGCGCACAGACAATGTGTGCGCGTGACGGTCACGCGATTTGTAAATTTCACTGCGACAGCGAACGTAAACGCGAGTGCTGTCGAACTTGAGCCCTTAGTATTATGAAAGTTTGTTTATGCATTAAACTGAATTTCAAACAAAAAGCATTTTAAGGTCGTTCTTGACCGTTCATGAGCTTTGCCCCCAATGTAGGGGATGAATAGCAATACATAGAAAAAACGAGTGTTAAGAAGCAGAATGAAGTGCAAAAACAAGTGATTTCATACAATGAAAACTGAGGGGTACCGCGCATGCGCAGTTCGCCGAGGGTTTGCACTTTAGAACTTTTCATTTTAACATGATCAATAACACATGGACAAAGTTAATCTTGTTTGCTCTTTCTACTTTCAGTTATACTTATTAGCTTCTCTGGTGATCTAAAAATGGCAAATAGTTTCCCCACAAGAATTTCTTCAAGTTGAAAATCCCTGCTTTGTCTTACAACGAAAATATCACTGCATAGCTTTAGCAAACTGTCAGGATTGACAACTTCATCAAGTAACAATTCAGTAGGAAGTGAAGATACATAGTTGCGAATTAAGCGCCCTATAACAAGCACCACTGACGCATAAAGTCCAATTATTCTGCAGAAGAGAATAAAGTGAAGCTATCACTAGAACTAAGTGCAGCAGATGTATACAGCAAATTATACTGTCTCACTTAGTATACCACATAAATCATTATTCACAACTTTCCCAAGAAACATTTATTCTGTACAGAGTTAGCAAAAACGTGATTTATGTCTTGACAACAGTAAGTCCCTAACTTATAGTTTCCTATTAGAATGGTTTCCACTGTAAAAACCTCAGGCAATTTGTTTACAAAGGGATGGCACTGGTCAAATCTCATGTGAGCTGTGTACAAAACTCCTCAAAACTTTGCGAGAAGGAACTTAAATCACTAGATATCGAGCCATACATGTATACACCAAAAAGCGTCGACATCATACATACCTTATGCTTCTTCAATCTAAACCCTTACTGGAACTACTGATTTTTTCACTAAATGTCTCCAGATACAACGGAGGTGTGCACGGCCGCCACTCTATCGTTAATTTCTTGTCACTACAGTGGATGGTGGAGCTGACAATAATAAGAAAATGCAGTGTTGTCACAGCTGTTTATTAAAAGATAGTGGAAAAAAGTGGAAAATCATTTCTTCAAAATGAAGGTGATACAGGGATGGGTAAAGTACAAAAAAGGAGGTAATTACGGAGCAAAGCTTCATGACACCATATCTAGAAAATAGGGGTAGTGTCATGTAGCTTTGTGAACCTTTCTTCCTTTTTGGTGCTTCGACCTACCCCTATATCAAGGAATGACTTTTCTACTTGTGTAATAGCCTAATGCACCATTCTACTTTAAATCTGTGGAGGAACTTAGTAACAAAAAACAACAAAGTCTGAGGCCATTTCTGCTCATTTTCTGAGGACTCTACCATTAAAGGAGGAATATGGAAAGGAAACAGTTACATAATATTTTGGACTAGGAGAGTTATGAGGGCCTATAGCCAGGTGAGAATAAACAACCGAAGTGTCAGTAATTATTGTTGTTTTGGCGTGGGCGGATTAAAGGCACCGCCAGTACTGTATTCGTCATACAGAACACCTGCTCATACAGAATCGTTTTTCAAACGTGGTAGTACAAACGGCTGCCAAACGGGCTTTCACGTGCAGCGAAGGGAGAGACGGATACCAGAAGCATATCCAAGGACTAGGAGGTAAGCTAGCACGGCTCTGCGAAGCTAGCAGCGGCCTATATAGCCTCGCGGAGCCACGCCTTCTCAATCTGTGCACGGGAGAAGGCCTGGTGGACTGCCATACATCGACCTGTTCTCTATTGCAGGAATTCCTGCAAGACCAAACAGATTGCAAGATTTGCCACATCACATAAATCGCCCACACTTTTTCGGTTGTCACACGGTAGGTGATTGGTTCTCGCTGTCTTCTTACCATTTATGATGAATAGTCTACTGTGCTTGGGTCTTTTTCCCCAGTTAAGAGTGCGCCCGGTTGCGTAACCCCAGTTACAACAGACAGTGTTGCGTTGGCTGAACTCTGAGGGGACTGGCAGTTCACCGTGTCACTAACTACTCTCTTCCCACACACGCTCGGTATCACGCTGGCTATGGGTAAGACTCTGAGTCAAAGGGACTCTACAGTGACTCTCAGTACACCGTGCAGTCTTTAGCCCTAGCAGAAACCTAGACTCGGTCGATTGCACGCACACCCCCGCATAATGTCAGCCTATTAAAAACGAAATGTTATGATATTGTGGTTCATGATAACGTCACAAAACATTCCTGATGAACAAGTGGTTTATACACCAGGCCTTCCCTTCTCCTGAGAAGGCGTGGCTTCGAGAGGCTAGCGGGAGCCCCACGGGAGCTCGACCATTCCGCTGATACAAACCAGTTAAAGCACCGTTCATGCTCGTATACTACGGGTATGTATTATTGAATTCGGTTAGTGATCTCGAGAATCTAAAACGCACTCGGATACGCCTTAACGTATCTCAACCGCAAACCGCGCTCAGTTGTACACTCGCATGGTGCTTTAACTATTATACGTACGATAGTTTAGTAGGTGAATGCAGGGCATTTTGGTGAGCGGGAGCGAGCACACAATGACTGTATGTGCACGAGCCATCCTAGCCTATTTACAACTTGCACGAAGATTGGAAAGAGGTACAGCCTCAGTCAGGCACCGAAGAGTGCAGCAAATGCTGCCGAATGGACGAGAGTTCTGTGGCTGGCTAGATCGCGCATGGAGGATCTAGGCAGCGCGATTAAAAAGAAGCAAACGCATGCACACTCAGGTAAGTTAAGGACTGGGCCTTCCGTTTGTCGCGCGAGTACGCATACCGCGGTTTGAAATTACATAGTTGCCATGGTATTCATGTCAATGCGTGGGTGCGCTACGCTGAGTCATCCCAGCCCGACATTCTACACTCCCACCTCGTATTGATGGATTAGGACAAGGCATACATATATTTCTAGTCAAGACAGGGCTGACGGTATGCCCAGCCATCATTTGATATATGAGAGTGCGCAGCTCTGACCTCTCTATTCATGCAGACCCTCGACAGGTGGCAGAGCGAGGCTTATAAACTCCACCGAGAACAGCTTGCCACAGTTTCCCGGACTCTAGATAGAGGATGTTAAATCAATGTCATGGTGCGTGCTAATGCTGCAAGTGACCGCCTTTTTCGATATTGTCTGGAGAGCGACCGCTACTAAGATTGTGCTATCCCATGGATGCGGAAGTGGGCGTGGTCAATGTAACCACGCCCACTTGCGGCTTTGTTTGACTTCGATGTAACCTTCGGTTGGCTCAAATCTTTTACTTCAACTCAGTTATTTATTTCAGCCGATTTTGCTGGACCCAGTCCTTAGCAGTTATACGACGTACAGTGACATAAATATAGTTTCGCAGGCCCAGACATTCCGCGGGGGAAAGGAACGTTTGGTCACTATTGCCAGCATTCCGTGGTGCAATGGGAATTTCATTAGCGTGACGCCATGTTGTGGTGGAATGCAATCAGCTCGCCCGGTGCAGCTTTTCTCGCCAGTTTCAGTTTGTGCTAGCAAGCGGCATGGATTGTGTTCTCTGCAGAAGCTTACTTAATCCAGGCCTTGTCAATGTTTTTACAGTCCCGCCAATCGTATATAGAAGAAATGCGGGCGCCACCAGACAATCTTGCTCATGACTGTGTTGACTAGAAGGTTCGAAGCGTCCAAAGAGGGCGAGAAAGAGCTGATGGTAACGCTATCCGCAGTAGTTTGCAACGGTAATGCCGGGTTTCAGGTCGAGTAGTGCGCTAAATGCATGTTTGCTCCACCCCTTTTACATTTTTGTGGCAGCCCCAACATTCCGGGCGACGTCCACGGAATGCTGGCAATAGTAACACAACTGTGAATTTTGACCCGGTAAGCGGGCAGCATGGCGACATTATCTCATAAAAACCACCCACGTATCCTCAAAAGTGGTCAGTCGGCTCTTGGATGTGGCGGTAGGAGCTTTGATGTTGCTTTCATCTACCCTTTCAGTGCTCTAAAAAAAAGCAAAAGGTCCGCATGTGCGTGGGTTGAAAGGGGTGTGTCAACTTGGGCAGAATTACACATGCGTGCAGGGGAGTTGCTGAAAAACGCCGATCGGTCGCAGAAGCCGAATTCGTGACTGTAAGAGATATACATACAAGACCTTCTTTCTCGCGGGAGCACGTGATGGTATGGGCACAAGACTACCAGACCCTCTTTCCCTCGCAGAGAGGCGGGGTCCGGACACTAGTCTCGTGCCCAGATCCCACCCACACATCACGTGGAAGAGGTCTGTTTAATGACAATTAGATGAAGTTAATGGGGGCACATACCGTTGCTAGGCTAGGGGAGGTAGGCCCCACCTCAATTCACGGTGGCACATCCTTGAGCTGCTTGCAACTGCACATGTGCATACCACAACCACGTGCAAACTGAGAAGCAGCAAGTCAGCGTCGTTCCAGTTTGCAGTTACCGTCGCCGGCATGTGGCGGGGCAGCAAGGACAGCGTGTGCCTCAGTTTCTGCAAGGCCAGTGTGTGCCTCAGTTTCCATACGGACGACGCTAACCCAAGTGCAGGCAGCGGTCCATTCACGAGCACGCCAGCGGCGACAGGCAGCGGTTCTGGATCGTTAACAGAGGCATCTGTCCGGAGTCTCATCAGGGAAGAGGCATACCTGTCAGATATGCTCGCCTATATGTGCTTGTAGGCAAACAAAATTTGGGGGACCGGTTGGTTGGCGTATGACGCAGTCTTTCGCCGCAATAACCAAGGCTCCACTAATCCCTGGAACTACATAGATGCTTCTCTACATGAAGTGTATATTGCAACTGAACGAGATAAATCATCACCCTGTGTTAGTACTTAGTACTGCAGACAACATAATGCTCTGGGCAGCAGCATGCAGAGGTGTTTTTCGGATTTGTTCGTGCCGGGAAATTCACATTTTCATCTCCTAGCGGGTATGACCCTGAGGTCCACCTATATCTCAGTGATATGGCTGTTGGCGTTCATCATCACCCTTCAATGATACGATAAAACAGAGCAAAACTGACCCTTTCCTGCAAGGCATACATATATTTCTAGTCAGGACAGGGCTGACGGTATGCCCATTTCAAGCCATCATTTGATATATCAGAGTGCGCAGCTCTGACCTCTCTATTCATGCAGACCCTTGACAGGTGGCGGAGCGAGGCTTATAAACTTCCCCGAGAACAGCTTGCCGCAGTTTCCTGGACTCTACATAGAGGATGTTAAATCAATGTCATGGTGCGTGTTAATACTGGGACGTCTTGCAATAGCCCTCTTGTGAGGAAACGCCTGAATGTGGATGTGCCGACATTCTACACTCCCACCTTGTATTGATGGATTAGGACAAGGCATACATATATTTCTAGTCAAGACAGGGCTGACGGTATGCCCAGTCCAAGCCATCATTTGATATATCAGAGTGCGCAGCTCTGACCTCTCTATTCATGCAGACCCTCGACAGGTGGCAGAGCGAGGCATATAAACTTCACCGAGAACAGCTTGCCGCAGTTTCCCGTACTCTAGATAGAGGATGTTAAATCAATGTCATGGTGCGTGCTAATGCTGTAAATGGATTGGAGTTGATGCAGCATATTCTTTACATAATTCCCACCATTCGGTTGACAGGTCGTCCCATAGGTCAATGGCTGAACTCTACCACCACTGCTGACACGACCAAACACCTTTTGGGACGTCTTGCAATAGCCCTGTTGTGAGGAAACACCTGAATGTGGATGCGCCGACATTCTACACTCCCACCTTGTATTGATGGATTAGTGTTTGTCCGTTTCTGCGTTGTTCTTTCAGCCCTGATAAAAACTTGTACTCCGTAAAAAAGCAGCATGTGCACGTACGGTTGTATAGCGCCATTCAGACCAGCTCGCTCCAGCTCGCCAATTAATCACAATTACACCACGTAAGTTTGAAAATACAGGTCACGTCATGTTGAGTGAAAAAGTGCCATTCCATTATACACTGTTCAAATGGAATTAAGAGTGGCACACCAGGCGACAAAATAGAGATTATGTGTGTGCTCAATCAAATCATTTCTTAACCACACTTCATGTATCTCCTTTCTTTTCATACCATCCCTACGTACATTCCTCTTTTTAAACTGGCAGGTTTTTAACGTATAACCACTGCCAATATCACTATGTTTGGTAGTAAATAGTACAAATATAGAACATAAGTATGGCACTGAGACAATAGACTGATGCAGTAGTACAATGGATGATGGGTACACACCTTGCCCTTTTCCACCACACTCGGGTGTGCTGTTGTATAATGCAAATATGACCAGCAAAGGCACAGTTGCTGCGTGACTACATACGTCAATTTATGTATTCTGTATGCATATTGCAAACTTATTTACAGTACTGCTGGCTTAGCTCTCAACAGTCAGTATCTCTTATTCCTTCTTCACTCACTCTACATCAGTCAGTAAACAAACGTATGATAGCAGTGGCAACAGCATAGGGCTTTCGTGGCTGAAAATGTGCGTGAGCAAGCAATGTTAGTGTGAAGTATGTAGCCATCATCCATTGTACTATTGCATCACATCCACTTGGTCATTCCTCTTTTGTCTCCTTGCAATTTATTTTTCTGTGTACAAACAAGGACATTTTGGGACATAATACTGATAAAAAGTCGTTCTGCATTCAAAAGCAATTCGTAGGATTCAATACTTACCCAAAGCCAGCAATTATACTGAAAACTTGTGATGCAATACGTTCACTGTATATCAGTAGTATTGGTGGTCCAAGTTTCCCTGTGTAAATGGGATTAGTACACATTTCCAATGTCCACCACTCCTGACTTGAGATATTTGATAGACTGGTGTTACAAACAATGTTTACTTGAGTTTTGAAGAACCCTAAAAACATAAGATACAGCAGTAACTCAACATGCAAAAGTACAAAAGCGCCTTGCAAGTACGTTGAACAAGGATGTGGTTCACTTATGGCCAAAATGTTCCGACTGCACAGTAGTCCTTGTCAATGGCATAAAGTACAAAACTAAGGCAAAGGTGATGTTTTTATGGATGAGATTCTTATTCTTCTCCTACACACCCAACTTCCAAAGTTTCTTGTGCATCTTCTCTCCCCTAACATAAGCTAACATTATTAATCCTCGGCGCGCATGCACAGCGAGGGTTACGGTACTTGGTCTGTCGGTCTGTCTATCTGTCTGTCCACGCGAGTTCTCGCACTACAGGCTACGAGGCGGCCAATGAGTGGCACCAACGAGAAGATGGAAAACAAGCGAAAAAGCCAACGCGAGGTCGACCGTGCACGCGCCTTCTCCGGCAGGCTATATATATATAGCGCGCATGCGTAATGTCAATTTTTCGCCGGAGCATGCGCTACGCCATGTTGGTTGTATATTATACGATCCACGGGCTTCTGTCAGTTTTGGTCTCTGTTCTCTTTGTTTTTTAAGTGGATAAACATACTGAGCAAGGTATGTTCGCAATGTAGCACAATAGTTCAGGTGCCGAGCAGTTTGTGGTTGCGGCCATAACTTCCCATCTATAAAATGTCTGGCGAGAGTATTGAAACACAGAAGTACGGATAGATTGAATAAAGCAAATATGAGAGCCTCTGAAACACCTGAGCATTGCTCTAACAGCTAATGCAACTACCTTGTGTAACAGCGAGACTTGTGTTACTGGCTCCGTCGATAGCGCATGATGACCCAGCATACAGTGATGCTACAACTCACGCGTTTAGCGCCGAGGGTTTGCACTTTTCATTAATACAGTAAGTTTGCTACTATCCGTAGCTCGTAACTCTTTCGGAACATACTGGCCTAAGCATTGACGATATCATCTCTCTTTTGTACTTGCGGCTCAATCCTTATTGGACAGCTATGGGCAACCCTGTTTCTGTGGTCAGCGAAGGGTAAGGGCTGGATAAATCAGGTTTTGTGTTGATGATGTACGTATCTTGTTCAGTTCATGTATCAGACTCTCCAGAAACACCATCAATCTTTCGAAATAGAATCATCTGAGCGCTGTCATAACGACTACATATAGTTTTTCTTTAAGCTTCTTCACACCTTAAACTTGCTAATGGTAGCACACAGGAAGATGAAACTCGCATGCATATTTCATTTTTTCTTGTTTCAATGACGACCACATATTTAAAAATAGTTTCATGTAGCAGACTCATATAATTGCCTATGAATGACAAGCCTCGCATAAATCATCATGCATTGTGTATCACTTTCCTATGCTGCGTGAAAGACAGAGCTTGATCAATCCAGAGTTTTAGGGTGTGAGTGCATTACAGTGGAGGTCCCACCGAGACCCAGATCGATTGGTGGAGGAACAAATTTTTACGTCGCAGACCCTCACTGGAGACGTTTACGTCAAACTCTCGTAGCCTGAGCCGAGTAACGAGGCAGCATGTCGGGGGAAGAGACAGAGTGGCCCCGTGAAGAGCCACGTGTGGTCAAGACGCACCCGCCCAACTCCAGGTGACCTACGGCCCGGGTCGTGCACTAAATAGCTGCAGCTCTAGAGCTACCGAAGGCACCCCTGCCAGACACCCATCAGATGGTAGAGGGGTCTCTAGGCGAGGACGGCTCTATCATATGGCTTAGAGACCACAACCCAAGAGCGTGTACCAGTGGCACACTGTGCCAGGGCGCAGTGCCTCAGGGAAGAGCCCCATAGCCACAGACCTGTCACCGTCAGACGAAATAGGACACACCAGGCGGAGTCTAGTATCGCGGACAGGAGTGCAGCTGTCGTCGCTCACTCACCTCTTTCCAGAGAGCCATCCAGATCAGCAGGTCATGGGATTTTAGTGGGCTCTGGCGCTGTTCGTAAAGCTAGTAGCCACGTGGCTGGTGGAACTACCGAGGGTGTATGGTCAAGGGCTGAGGAGCGTGAAGATACTCTATCGAGCAGGAAAAGAAAACTCCAATGCTGACGCCCTATCATGGAGCCCCTACTTGGCAGCTCCAGCTGTGGGAATCGCAAAGGATGAATTACAGGTCGCAAGCCTTACGTCAGATGCAGCCAATAGTCTCTAGCTACCCCAAGGTACAAAAATGTCTTTCCAGCAGTCACTGTTCCCTGCCGCAGACAAGCGTGACACACAGCACAATGGTCATAGAGCAACGATTACTAGAGTGCGTGACTCCATGGAACTGGCGGACGACGGAGAAGAACATGGCATGCAGGATCATACAGTGGAGGGATGCCATGCAGGGGTAGGCAGCCAACTTCTGAACAGGATGCAGCTCTGCCCTCACCCCAACCCAAGTCACACTGCGTGCCTCAGAGACAGGTGGTTCACCATCGCCCACGATTCAGCGTCAAGATCCTAATGAAGAAGCGAAGCTGATAGACGATACCTCAACCACACCTAGCGCAGACCTTTTACTCCACAGCGAACAGAGAGGCCCCCAGGATTACTCACCAGAGTCATCTCAGGAGAGATTGTCTTCTTCGCCAGACAGTCAAACCCCCAGACCGCCTATTTTAACCAAGTTTTAGGGCAAACTTACTGGAGGAGCGGGGGTAGTGTAGCAGGCTCACATATTTGCCTGTCATTGTCCAGCCTCACATAAGTCATCATGTTAATCATCATGCATTGTACAGTAATAGGACATCCTTATGACTCACGACGACAATGATACAATCTCAATCGTAAAGTTACACATACGGGCTGATATCAAGACTTTTCTTCACACCATACTCTCGTGCACAAGGCAGCAGTTATTATTTCATCGAGCAAGTGACCTCTTCAACCATCGATCTCAAACTTGAAGAACATAAGAACCTATGCAAATCCCTATCAGACAATATCTGATAACCTTTAAGAACAGGGTGAAAAAAGAGACATGGTGACACATGGTCGAAGTCAATTACGTTTTCAAAAGCACTGCAACACCCTCTCTCCTTTGGATGGAGTTGTTCACCGCCTGATCTTGAGCTTATGAAGCCAGTGAAACAGGCCAAAACCGATCTGATTATGTTTAATACTTCGTCAAATGGACTTTTAGAGGTAGGCTCGGTTCCGTCCGTTTAAAATGGCTTACACTGAAGTTTCGTTTTTTTGGTGCTTTTTTCATAAGCATTCTTTTTTGGACATGTGCAGCTAGCCACAGTTGTCTTTTCTGCCTCTCCCTGTCTTTTGATTACCTTGAATATTCCTCTGTACCACTACCATAAAGACATCACATTTTGTACTTTATGCAGCTGATAGGGACTACTGCGCAGTCGAAACGTTAGGCAAATGAATTTTCTTTCACTAGTGTGTGTTGAAAAAATGAAATGTATGGAATCTCTTAGTGAACTATGTATCCTTACAGATGTGGGCAAGAATCTGGTAAGGCATGAGGCCTAGCCAAGTGCCTTACTAGGCTGCAAGAATTAGAACACAATAGTACTGGTTTTTGAAAACCAGCACACCAATATTATTTACCCTTGGTGCACATGCACAGTAGGGATACGGTGCTTGGTCATTAACCCTCGGCCTGCATGCGTAGCGAGGGTTACAGTACTTGGTTCGTAAGTGTGTCTGTCTGTCCATCTGTCTCTCTGTCTGTCTGTCAAAACGTTTTCTGCCACCACGCACAGAAATCAACCAAAGAGCTATAGTAACGGGTTCAGTGCTACACTGGCTTGATTTAAAAAAAGGCAATTTTCATGAAACTACTGTGTTCTAAAGTTATGGCATAAAAACCAAGTGAACAAGCCAATAATATTAATTAGCACATGCTTACCTCGACCAGTCCGCTTGCTTTGTGTATCTTGAAGGCACAAGAAGTCACAACGAAGGCCGTGTATCAACTTACGCAAGCTATCTACTACTGTGGCTAGCCCCCAGCGGGACACAACAACCCCCCCCCCCCGCCCATCAATTAGCGGTACCACGCAAGTGCATTTCGCCGAGGGTTTGCACTTTAGTGCTTTCATTATGTCTGTAACTATTATGGCAGTTTATAAGGTGGTCTACGAGCGATACCAAGAAACACTTGCTTGAATTAATAAGTTAAGTGGGTGATGATAGTGAACTATAGTATATTTCTCTAATTCTTCTGGCCTTGTCGTACATAACTATGCCCCAATAATGGCAAGGAACAGCTCAAAGTGACCTACTGGCTGAGGAGGAAAATAAATATCCTGATCGGTTTCAAAAAATGTTTAAATCTTGGGCTTTTCTGTCATTCTATGGAAAAAAGGTTTGTAAAATTGCCACCAACACAATATTTCCTTATAATGTGTGTCATGCAAGTCTGGTATTATAATGTAAATAATGTATGGACACAACGTCCAGTGCCATGTATTACTGTACTCACTGCTAAGATCAGTGTAGTTTTCAGCTCCTCCTGTAGCTGGAGCAAGTATTAAGCGCGGGTATAAACTCAGAAGTGATCTGCAAAAAGCACAGTTAGTTTAACACAGTTGGACTTTTTAGAGACTCTAGTTCAGGAAGCATACATGGTGAGAGACAGTGAGTTCATTATAGCAGATAGTACTGGAAATGCGTACTGGTCTAATGTACCATCGAACTCCTCATCGAAACAGAATATTACTGAAGAGATGCTAGTCACATATGTGGAATACTTGATAGATAATATTTATGTTAGTATAGGTAATAGAATATATAGGCAGTGTATAGGGATTCCAATGGGAACGGATTGTGCGCCGTTGGTGGCAAATTTGTTTCTGTGTTACTATGAATATAGATATATGAAGAATATGATAAAAACTAACTTGATGCTGGCAAAAAGATTTAGTAACACAATGAGGTATATTGATGATTTGCTGACATTGAATAACACATCGTTTAATTCAGCCATTGATGACATATACCCAGAGGAGCTTAAACTAAAAAGAACATCTGAATCACCAACAGCACTGTCATACTTAGATATACATATAACTATAACAAATGGGAAATATTCCACAGCAGTATATGATAAACGGGATGATTTTAACTTCAAAATTGTATATCTAAGTTCCAATATTCCATCTGGACCAGCATACGGCGTCTATATTTCCCAAATAGTACGTATAGGTAGAATTTGTAGTGATTACTCGGATTTTACGTTGAGACATTTCAAACTTACGGAGCGACTGATTCATCAAGGATACAGATACTCTGATTTGTGCAGGTCCTTTTATAAGTTTGCTAAAAAGCACGCACAAATTATGATTAAATATAGCTGCGGCATACTCAAACATGTGGAGGATGGTATATGTCTGCCAGCAATGGATAGGTTCCTCAGTCGCCATGTCTCGCATATATAGAATGTATATTTATAGTCACATATTTATTTTGGATAATCTGTTTTTAACATTTCTATTTCTACCATTTCTACTATTATTTACATTTTTCTTACACGTGTATATGATGTACATTATTTTAGAAGTTCTATTTTTTCTACACGTGTATATGCTGTGCGTTATTTAGAGTAATCGCACGTTTTTTATGTCTCCGTCGTGTCGTCGTGCTGCGTGAGTTTCAGAGTTTTTTTATTTTTCTATGAGTTTATTGGTCCTTTGAGGCTTTCTATTTTTCTACCGGCTGTTGTTTTTATCCTGTAGCTGTCGTTTTTTGTACATGATTTCTATCTATTTATTTTCGTGTAAGGGAGGTTGGGACACTGGGTGTGTAGGGAGAGTTGGGCCCATAAAAGACTCTTTAACCTACCGCCCCGGTTCTCAAGGCTGGGCACCCAGGGTCCTGCCTCTTTCGTTATGTTTATATGTTATTGTCTGTGTTTTGTGTGCTTGGGTGGGGGAGGTTTTTCTTTTCCTCTCTTTTAGCTAGTATGCTATAAACATGTTTTTTCATATAAAACCTGCCAAGTAGGTCAGTTGTCACATATAATATTTGGATCAAACACTTTATCAAGATAGTCAAGTGAAAATCCAACCCAGGATTGCCAGGGACTGTCCTAGGATGTCCCTGTTTTATATCCCCATGATTCATCAATTTCGAGTTGGGTGTCTCTTGTCATTTACCTGGTCTGCTCCTACACAAAATGACTTTAACCCACATTCCAGGCATATTTTTTTAGGGAGAAAGAAAAGCCTGGTACAAATTTCCTTGGCTTCACACCTTGGCTAGCACTCAGAACGCTCCAAAAAGACCAAGATAGCTGGGTAAGCAGCTGTGTACTAGGAAATCGTGATGTTTGGGATGAAAAGCTGCTGTGCATCTATACTATCAACACATTGCTTGTGGCTAGTCTAACACAGTGGTGTTAGCCTGCCTCCTCAATACAACGTCCTCTAGTACCCGTCTTTCTCTTAGCTGTGTTGGAGCAGCCCTGTTTAAGAGCTGTTTAAACCAGTGTGTTCTATGAGAAAATGTTCCTGAATGTTATCTTTGATCCACCAACACAAGGTACAACAGGAGCATAACACTAGATACTTACACTTCTGTTTTGTTTCCACTGAGGGTACTGATCAGATTATCAACTGTTGAGGGATATTTTTGATAATCTAAGACTCTCGAGGTTGACCCAGAGACTTCTTCAGCTGCTGTTGTGAGCACTGGCTCCCTAGAATACAAATGAATCATAAAGCAAGTAATTCTGCAGTGGTATAAAAATTTAAATGTGAAAATCCCAAATGTATGGGCATAATGTTTGATAACCTGCGCCATTCCTATAATTAGTGATAGAAGAGAATCAGTTACAGTCTTAGAATAAGTATAAACAACAGAATAACCTACAAGTGAATGATTAAAAGCAGCCGTTCGGGGTTATTGCAATTGCATTGTACGTATCTGTATGCATCATTACTTTGCCCTTGCCTTGCACCTTAGTGATGTTTCCTGAGTGTTGTTAAATTGTTTGCTTCGCTTATCCCTTGCAACCTTGTTGTTGACACATGCACGTATTTAGTTGTGAGTTGGGCATCTCTGGTGGTTGAAATACCCAGTCTGCTCCACATGTAAGTGAGGGTTTACAGTGCTGTAGCCGTTATGTTGAGCAAAAGGATACATAAGCTTGGATACTATGGAACGTGACTTTTGCGTGGGGGCGCGTCACTTGTGCGGCTTGTGGAAGTCGTGTGCTGGGTCCATTCTCTACACTTGATCCGCCTTTGCCTTTGGATCAAGTGTCAGCACACGAAGACTTCCAGAAGCCACACAAATGTTCTTGTGTTGTGTTCGGGAGTTATCACCAGCCTGTATGAATTGGTTAGTTAACTATTTCCTTCTAAATGCAGGTGGGGACCCAAAATTAGTTAGATGATGAGTTTCCCGTCCTGTGTTGCTACACTCCGACCCATTCTGGACTGAGAAACTCACATTACCATAGTCTTGTGCCGAGACCCTCGAAAGAGGGTCAGGTATGTAATGTCGAATTTCTTCATTGTGCTGAGTCAGTATGTTCGGAAAACGGGTAACCCATTCAGATTGCTAAGTTTGAAAATATCGTGTGACATAATAGCAGCGGGTGCACGTGTAGATCTATGCAACGATTGAGAAGCAAACACATGACTATCGTGCTGTGTTACGCAATTTCAGTACACATGCTGACTTAGAACAACCAAGATATTTGACATTTGCCAGACCCTCTTTCGCGTGGGAGCACATCAGGGTCTGGGAACGAGACTAACATTCTACTGACTGCATGGTAAAATTGCCCAGCCCATCAATTAGTGGCACATGTAGTGTTTAGCAACTACACACAGCAAAGTGCTTGTGCTGAGGGGTTGCACTTCTTGCATTAACTTTGCGTGTGCTTTCACCTTCGTTGATATTAATTACAGCGTGTTCATCTGTCCAGAGACTTGTGTGATACCAACTGTGCATCAAAGTACACATGTAGAAAAAAACATGTGATGCCAAGAGAAAAAAGATGTGGAGCTCTGGACAGCTGTTTCAGGCTTGTTGGCCCTCATAAGCAGAGTATACCACAACTTCTTTCTCTGGCATCACTAGTTTATAAAGGCAGACATGAGCACAGCACTTGTGGTTTTGAACTAAAGAGATTCATCCCTACAAGGCTTTGCCACTGGTATGTGCTGCTGACCATGCCCAGACATTTGTGGTTTGGACCCCACTCCTGCTGGTCAAGGTCAGCACCGAGCCAAAACCCGAATTTTAGCATTGTTTGTGGTACACAAGACACAAATAATATGTGGTCAAGACTTTGTTCAGGTGCTAAGGTGAATTTCCTTGCAGTACTAGTTGTACAACAAATAGCCTGAGGCACTCCTCTTCAAAATTTCTTCTTCACTCCTCAAACAGAAGTGTGCTTTGAGATGAAACTTAGTTATATTAGCCTCATTCCCAGGCCTCCTCTCTCCGCACACAATTTTTGCGTATGACTTTCGATCTCAAGAGTTAAGTGGGGAGAGGGTCTGGTATATTTTGTCACACGAGCTAACGCATCGGGTAAACACTGTGGTATATGTCTAGGATAGCTGCGGACTATCCAGGCTATCCCGTGGTGGTCGATGCTTGAGGCTATGGCTAGGGTCAGGGATAGGAATAGGGATAGAGGGACATCCTGGGACAGTCCCTGGCAATCCTGGACATCACTCAACACTGTTTTGAAGCTACTACATTCAGGTAGACAGTGTTTTATGCTTTCACATCGTAACCAATGTGGGCAATATGGGAAAGCCTGGAGAGAAAGATTGACAATACCACGGTTGGTTGTATTGGCACTTGGCAGCAGAGACTCTGCGGAATGGCGTCAGAATGCGTGAGAAACGTGATCTTTGTCAAAGCGCATCTAGTTGGCGATTCCGGGAAGTCTCTGCCACAGCTGAGCTGCAAAAGGCCAATACAAGCCCACGTGGCATCGTCATCTTTCAATCCCAATCTTGCTCTCCGGGTTTGCTTCACTCCTGGCTTGCTTTGTCACTCCTTAATCCTGTACGCATAGAGATGAGACTTAGATATATTATATTAGATCACCCCCACGACAATTATATACCCTCAGGTATGTAACAGGCCAGTAAGGGTTTCATGGGAAATATAAGCCCGAGTGCAGGAATGCAATTCTAATTGCATTCCTGCACGAGAGTGTATAACCCCACAACCAGCCTGTTATAACTAGTTTGCAGCCCAGTAAAACCGGTTTGAGTGTAGTTGCATTTTGGCGGGTTCACTTTTGAATTCAAGTACATCATGGCAGACAGGAGTGTTTCTTGAAGGTATCGTGGCTTGGGAAGACATACCAAATGCGTACGCTTTAGTGCAAGGAACTATTGCTTCCGGGGAGGTAAACCCAGGCTAGGTGAGAAGCTTTGCAGACCGTGGAGATAATTTACCAGCACTGCTCATTGTGTAGCTCGTGGTTGGGTGTGGCAGCCTGGCTTGAACAACCCAACTTGCTAAACTCGAGCATATGCGAGTGTAGCATTCTTGTGGCATTTTCACGGGAAGCATAGATCGCTGCACTGACTCTGCTTCAAGTTCTGTGTGTGACTAGCTCGCTGCGCTTCGTGTACTGGGTCGCCATGATGTACAGAACTTAAGGCCAGTGTCAGTTTTCACACAGTTGTTTTCATGTAGTCAATTTAGTCCCACCATAGATTTTTGCAATCATTGCTAATACACCCGTTGCCACAGGTATACACCCATTACCAAGGTTATTCATGCAGCATGCATGTATTAGCAATGAATAATGTTTACATTCCACACAGCGGTCCCATGCACAACTAATGGCCCTGGAGGCGCCTTTGATCTGAGTGCCAACTTAGCTACAAGTGTAATTTGTAGCCCAGAAGCCATAGAAATCAAAGTGCCGCATGCGCGGGTATACTCCGGACCACCGACCATTACTTTAACCCTTTGGACGCCATGGGTATCTTCTTAAATAAGCATAATTTTAGGTAATAAGTATTAGCGTCTAGTATTATAAAATCTTATGGACATATTGAGGCTCTGGACACATTTATGTGTCCGCGGCTGATTTAGTGTTAAGGCTACGGCCTAAAAATATATTGGGTTTAGTTTTGGATTTTTTGCTTAAACATTTTACCCTCTCCGCGATCCCAAATGGAAGTTACGACAATGCAACTGAATGAAAAAATATCCACATTCGAGGGACCAATAGCTTGGAACAACATGATATCAGAATAGCAAACTAAGTGTGATTCAAGCTATATAGAGCTCGGGGCTCGGGGAGTGTCAGCATACTCACAATGTGTTGTAAACTTTGTGCTTTCATCCTATCCATTCGAAACATATTGTGGTTGATCCTTATGCTTCGCGTAGGCAACAATGTAGGGATTGTGTGAGGAGCTTATGGAGTCTCAGCTTGTGTTTTCTTCATAAAATATGATTTTGCAAGATTATTTTCTATACACCCGTGTATATGACCTGCTATGGGAAAGGGGACCATTCACTGAGAGAAATATTTGCCTGTTTTCCATGTCAGCATGTTGGGCAGCACAAACTCTACATGCTGATACACAAACGTTTCAGGTTGCATGGGGTTATGACAAACCTACGTAGTACCTACAAAACGCGAATTTAACAACATATTTGAGCAACTGATTATGATACAGGCATGCGCACATGGTGCAAGTATCAAAGGTAACAGTAGTAAGCATTACATACCTCCGAATGTTCCAAGAAAACTGCATGGTGATAGATGTATTTTTTTCCCTGACACTTTTAAGGCTATCAAGTAATAATAACTTTGCTGGCGGACTTATTGTCCATAGTGAGGTGGATTCATTCGGAAATATTGCTTTCCTGAAGTCACGCTGGGATAGTTGACTTTCCAATTGAGGCTGCACCTAAGTATGTGTGAAAGTGTAGGTGAGTATTACACCACTTAGAGGCTTAAACACACTGTTCTCTACTAGACTACTCAGTGTGCCAGAATAGCATTTGTGGGACACTTCCTTATGATGTACTCTGTGTGCAAATCTCTTACACAACATCATCACATTACATCACAAATGCACCAGCAATAAATCTCATGTGGCACTATGACCCAGGCTACAACTAAAACGAATGCCATTCAAACCCCAAATCTAATAAATTTACACAGAGTCTCTGTTACCACACTTTACTCAGTATCTTTTGCTGCAGGTACAAAGTTGCAGAGTTGGGTATATTACGTGCATGCATGGACAGCTTCCTTCACTGAAACACCCCTGAATAACTACTATAATGCATTTTTCTTTATGTTAGCTTCCTTCACTAAACACCTGTGTTTCCACATTTTGTCCACCTACCTGTAGTTGAAAGCTGTTTTTGAGTTGCTGATATTCAGAACTAGTGAGTGGTTCAATCGATTCCTCTTGTACAGTGATCTGTACTAGTGGCTGCAAGTACACAATGCCTTGAAAAGACAACCAAAAGTTTATGATACGTACCTCATAACCCTCTAGGGATAAACTAATACTTGTAGCTACAGGGAGATTTGGAACACTGGTTGAATTGATAAGACTGATCACCAACAGTGGACCCCATATAAGCATCACAAGAACAACCAGCAGTACTCCTCCAAGTAAAGCCTTGATAAGCAAACTCTGCTGATCTCCTAATTCCCTTGGAGAATCCTGTAAAAAGAAAAGACTTTAAAAGAGGGCTCTTGGCTATTAAAGACCTTTAGTGTTAGCTAGTACACATACTTTCCAAGCTTGAAACAACAGGATATTAAACAGCCCAACCTGAGAAATTGTATACTTAATTGGGAGGTTATGTGAAGAGGATAAGCGCAAACAGATAAATGCAGGCTTGAAACCAACAAAAAATAATTGCTGAAGTACCAAGCTGTAATCTTTATCAATAATGTATGTAAATAGCTTCTTGTAAAGCCCATTTTATATAACAACAAATGTGTAGTAAATGTACACACCAATAATTATTAGCTTGGGCTACAACTTGAAACATTACTTTTCCAACACACCTTTTCTCTTTCTCGTCGCACTTTAACCAGATAGAGCTTGGCATATATCTCTTGCACACGCAGCCAGTTAAATAGAGACAGTGCAGTGTCAGTAAATACCCAGTCCATTACTTCTCGTAGCTCTGGCAACAGAGGTATTACCCGATATACAGAGAACAGTATACCAGAAACAGTGGTATAGTGCCGCCCGAAGAAATAACCAAGAATTTTCATAGGGTATCCCGACACAATTTGCAGTGCAGAAACAATGAAGTAGAGACACTTGAAGAAGTACAGACACTGGGCAGCAGTATTCATCGTAAAAGGTCTGAAAGAGGAAAAAAGTTAATTAGTTTCATTTTTTGAAAGGACTAAACGTTTAGTGCAGATGACTATTATAAACATGTACTCCCATACTTACGCAACACAGTCCAGCTATTTGCTTCTGTCGCTCCCATGGCTTAGGCAACAGGTAAATAAACAATTCTTTGAATTAAAAAAGGAGATGCATACTTCACACTGACATTGCTTGCTCATGCACCATTTCCACCACACAAGCTCTATATTTACAATGGGCTCACTGGTAAATGGAAATATAGAAATTTTGCTTCAATAAGTCATATTAGTGTGAAATATGTAGCCATCATTCATTATACTTCAGCATCACATGCACTAGGTCATCACTGTGTTATCCTACTTCATTGCCTAAATGCAACAGAAGCAGTAGCAGGACTGTATTCTTTAATAATGATTTATTATTTCCTTTTATACTGCATTGACACGAGTTAATAAACAGGAGACATTTTAGGGTATAGGTACGATTTGCAGCCTTATGTTTAATTACCTGATGCTGTTTGTTGTTATTACGTCTTTGTTCATGAAAACAGTTTTCAAAAGAAAAATAGTCTCAGCAATAAGAACAAAGTCACCAACACTCGTTTTTAAGGTCATCAAACGCAAAGATATCCCTATTTATACCATGGTCGCGCACATTTTCAAATGCACCGGCTATGGATTATTTAGCATATTCCGTGCGGTAGGCGATATTGCATGGGATATCCTGTGAATAACAAGGATATCCTGTGAAACATACAGGGAATGATATCCGAAGCACGTTGAGTACTGTCCAGAACTTCTCTATGGCCTACTTCTTCTTCAAAACACCCTTGTGATGAGCTGATCAGAGTAAAGAAAGTTAGCTTTGTTCTCTCTAACAAGAAGTGGCGAGTTTAGCATGCACGAAGCATCATCACATAGTAAAAAACTACTCGTTTCCAGGATTACTTTCTGCCTACAATCTTTCTGCAACGCTAAAGGAGGTACAGACTGACCCGAATTAGCGTTCTTCACACAGTGCGTATACTCACTGATTGACTTGGCAGAGGACGACGACTGATAGCGGTAGTTTCTAGTGAGTAGAGCGGTTCATAACCTTATCATCTGCATACTTTTTGCTAAGGAAACCTGCAACGGTGCAATCGTTGAAGAGAACGAGCGTTCAGTCCAAACGACCTGGAAGCTACGGGTCCACAGCCGTGCCCAAATGTGGTCCGAAAATGATGACGCAATCTGTTACCACTATATTTGTAACGCCTGAACCCTTACATAACTACACGTAACTACCCCTTATTGCATTTTTTGGGTTTATTGCTGTCTATATAACCGGTGCATTGAAACGAGAGCTGAGTCTGAGCTCTGATGAGAAGAGATGATTTTCAGAATGGAGTTCCAAGTCTACAGATCAGCGTCGATAATCAGGACCACACTCGAGTATGGAGCCTGGAGTGCCTACCCAGTCGTGGGTGGAGAGTGGAGACGCACCCCTGACGACTGGCAGGCTGTTGGATGCGAGAGTGAGAATCACAACCAGTATGAAGTTGAGGAAGAGGTGTTGGGTGGGGACGGTGTAGGAGGTATGGTCAGAGGGGTGGGAGACCTGAGTCACCATGGAGGCGGGGGGAATGTCCCCATGTCAAGCCGACATGTAGCTGACGTCACTCTGAGGAACGCCTACTCTACCGCGCTGTGCGGCAGGAGCTGGCATGAATCGCACACCCAGACGACAGCCTCTGCGGATCGTCCCAGGACCGTGACTTTCTCTCAGCCAAGGAGTCAGCCTCAAATACCACCTGCATCACCTGCAGCTGGATCACCAGCAGTTCGAGAAACAGTGAGTGAGGGGTACTACAGGGTAACTAGGAACCCTCAGAGTTCAGTAGGTGGTCCTTCTCAGTCTCGAGTGGGGGAGCCAAGGGTTGACAGGGCCCGGTTACTAACAGGGAATCTCCCTAGAGCTGACGCAACCCTGTCCCTGTCAGAAAATCTTCCAAATTTCCAGTCAAGGATAGAGCAAAATCAGCACAGAAAATGGGTACCTTGTCCAACCTCAAAACCTCAATGTGTAAAGTGTGGCCTACAGTCACTCCTACAGCACTGGAGTTGGGGTAGAAGGAGCTAACCCTCCAGAGAGAAGGACTCCGCATTGCCATGGTCCTACAACCCACTCTGGGGTTATCTGCCAAAGCAGTGTAGACCACACGTCCGTGGGGTGCGTGTCCTCACTCCCTTCTACTCAACCGATGCAGCCAGGGGCTACAACGACACCTGCCGCATCGACCACGACGACAACCACAACACCTGAAAACAGCGCATCTTTGGACTGCAGCTACTCTAGTAATGGGGCAGATACCTCAGATACCCCATTTTACAGGGGAGGGTCGTGCAACAGGAGACTCATTTGCGGAGTGGCATGAACACTTTGAAAATGTTGCAAAGTTAGCCGGCTGGAACGACCACTAGAAGCTCGTACATCTGACATACAGTTGGCGGGATACTGTGATGGCATTTTACCGGTCTTGCAGTACTGAAGTGCGTGACATGCTTGTGACCGTCATGAAGAGGAGATTTACGCCCATCCGACTGACAGCTGTCCAAGCTCAGAGACCGTGGACCAGTTTGCCCAAGACCTACAGAAACTTTACAACCTGGCCTATGCCGGAGCAACCAGTGAGGGGCCTCAAGCGGAACGCATGGGACCCTCTTAGCGAATCAGTTTGTGACTGGACTACGGCCTGACCTTAAGCGGAAACTCATCGGGACTGAAAGAAGTCTGGAGGAGCTGATCTTGAAAGCACGCTTCGAGGAAGCGAAGACATGGGGACTAGAGGGGGACCGACAGAGGTCTAGTGCGCCAAGCAGAACTCAGCGCTCATCTAATGGACCACCTTCTATGTTAACACCCCCGGCGAAAAAATGAAGTGCTCCGGCTGCGGCATGGATGGTCACATGGCCAGAAACTGCCCGTACTCTAAGAAGGGAAGACGAGGAGAAGAGGAAGCTCGTGGACGACCACAAGGGCCGCCACCATCTACCAAAATGCCTACTATGGGGGCACTCAGCGGAGAAGGGGATGACACCAAGACACAACTGGAGCAGCTCGGCCAGCGACTACAGGAGCTGGAGAGGAAGTTCAAACAGGAGGGCAGAACGAGATTGCTGAATACTGTGGCTGCAGAACCAGGAGCAGAAGATAGCCACCTTGGCCCGAGTGTGACAGCCAGAGTTTGTGTGAATGGGGTTCCGACACAAGCGCTCATCGACATGGGATCCCCAGCCACTGTTGCCTCGAGTTTCTGCTGGACATTTTTGTCAAAGAGAAAACAGAACAACAGACTCCTGCAGAATGGCAAATGGAAACCTTCAAGAAGTTCAGCCCACCGTCATTACTGCTGATAGCTTACAGCGGGCGTAATTTGAACATTATGGCACAAGTCAACCTCATTTTCTCCCATGGGAGCCGAACAGTCAACGCCAAGAAGGTCTAGTGCGCCAAGACGAAGACGAGCCTGAGAGAGTACTGGTCCAAGAAGGAGCGCCGCATAACTTCCTTTTGGGGACTGACCTACAGCCAAAGCTAGGCTTTACAATGGTAGCAGAGTCGGAGACGAAGATGACCAACCTCCTCACGGGAGAAGAGTACGTCCCGCCATTGCCCACTCCAGAGAGCAAGTTGAAGGAGCAGTTACCGAGCAACCCTGAGGGTGACGAGGATGCCATTCAGAGACCAGATCCCAATGGAGCTGATACGCCGACTAAAGGAGATTCTTTAGTGATAACACAACCATGAGATGACAATTGTCCAAGAGACCCGGAAATGGAAGGAGAATTGCCTCTGACTAGAAGATCCCTGCCTAACCAGAATTGTGGTCGCCGCGCAAGTCCCCAGAACAGAATAGACCAGAGAGTCCCTGTTGCATACACGGACCAAGACTCGGCGGGAGGTGCACCACTATCGTCTGGAGGCTCCAGCTCAGCAGGGGGAAACAAAGTTATCGTCTGAGTCGTTGCGAGGAAAGTCAAGACAATGCCCAATGACTGATGACCCAATAGACCCTTTTCCATTTCCACCGTGTGTTAGAGAGGGCTGCAAATGTGACCCAGAACTGTCCGACCCATCTTTCGTGGCACCAAGTACGGTAATTCCTCATCCTGTTAGACTAGGGGATGGAGCGTCCACCGACCGTGAAGAGGTCTCTGTCCCAACAAGCAGCTCAGCAGGGGGAAGGGACTCCATTGAAAGTGGAGCAAGAGAAAACACTAGCCAAGACTTTAGTGGCACGCAGGAGAATGGGGAGGACGTACAACCACCAGACAGGGCACTCCCAGCTGGGAGACATTCGTCAGACGAAGACGAGCCTGAGAGAGTGTTCTACCTTCTATCTGCGACTAGGATCCCTGCCAGACACCGGAAGTTGGTCCACACTAGAATTCAAGGAAAGCTGGAAGTCCCACTAACTGTTAACACCTAAGTACTGTGGAAGTAACATTTCGATGGTGGATGCGGCCATTGAAGGAGGAGATGAACTTTGTGCAACAGTGATGGTGGAGAACGCTGGAACCACATCCATATTCCTGGAAGCCGGCACAGAGTTGGGGACAGTGTCCCCTGTGGAAGAGGTGAAGACTCAAGACTCAACAAAAGCATCCGATGCCACCAATCCAGACATGGGATTAGTGTATCAGCTGAACCCAGACTCCAGGGACAAGAGAGAACAAGTGCTACATCAGCTCAGTCTGTCACTGGATCATCTGACACCGGGAGAACTCAAGTGGAAGAATTTCTGGTCAAGTATGCAGACGTGTTTGCTCTAGATGCCAGTGAGCTGGGCACCACTAACCTTGCAGAACACCGGATCGATACGGGAGATCACTCTCCCATCCAACAACCAGCCCGACGAATACCATTCGCTCTAAAGGACCAAGTGGATGAATTAGTGAGAGAGATGCACTCACAAGACGTCATCGTACTTTCTGCAAGCCCACGGGCCA